AAAATTGTTATAATGATGCACCTTGGTATAGATTTTTTTTAAGTCAGTAAGCTGGGCTTATATGGTCTCTTTAAGTATAGAAACTATATTTTGGTCCTGGGATTTTCTTTTGTATTTTTTTCTTTTATACAACTTTTTTCCCACCTGTTTTCTCTTTCTTGATTGTCTCTATTAATTGGATTTTGGGTCTTTTAAGTTGAACTCTTATTTTTTTCCTCTTGTACAGGTTTTTGGCTCATGTATACACACACGCATGCTTTTTGAAAGATTTCCTGGACTTCGTCATTCATTTATTGAATTTATTGTTTACCTCTTTTGTTTTTAAATTCCAAGATCTGTCTTGTTCTCTGATAGTATCCTATTCTTACATCCTTGAAGAATTAGTTACATCTTTTGGCATTTTCTTTTGTTCCCTACATTGCTTCTGTTTCTTACAGATTCTTTTTTCCTGGAGATTTCTTTAAGTCTTTCACATTCTTAGAGGCATTTCTCGAATGATGAATGATCCTTGCCTGTCTACTCATATTAAATGATTAGGTGCTAAGCAACTGATCAGACTAAGTGTGCCTGAGTTGGGTTTGTTTACTACTGAGCTTCACTGTGCTGATTGATTACTTTTTAAATCTTCTGTTTGGTATTGTGCAGTTTTACTGTGATCCCTTTAGATGTGGATATCTTTTTGTTGTATTTAATTTACATATAGTTCTATCTGTGAATTCATGTTCTCATTTCTGCAAAATTCTCAGCCAGTATCCCATTCAGTATTACATTTCTCTGTTGTCCATATTCTGTCCTTTAAGAATTCTTACTAGACATTTATTAGATCTTTACATTTTATCCTCTTGTTTTAACCTCTTATTTTCCATTTTCCTATTTTTCTTTGCTGTGTTTTGGGTGTTTTTCTTAACATTTATCTTCCATTTTTCTAATTCTTTTCAGCCATGTCTAATCAGTTGATGTTTGTTTTATACCTTTGCTCATTTTTCGATAATATTTTATTTCATCTTTAACAGTTCATATATGGTTATTTTATATTCTATCTCTGACGATTCCAGTGCCCAGAGTATTTGGTATTCTTAATTTATTTCTGCTGACACTTGTTCACGGTAAATTACTTATTACGTTTGATATTTGACTGTATACTCGTATTTCATAAAGTCTGTGGGAATGCTTGAAAGGCCTGAATTGTAGGTGACTATTTCATGATATAATTTAGGATTGCTTCTGCTGAATATAAAGGGGTACTAGTGGTCTACAACCACTTTAATTTCTTGGCCTGGGGATTTCCTGACCATAGAGGGGAGGGAAAATTACAACCTCACACTTACTTATGAGGGCAGGCCTGTGATTACAAAATCCCAGAGAAACCTTTCCACCCAGAGCGTGGACAGGAAAGGCTCCCTTGTAGGTCCTCTTTGTATATACTCAGGTTTTTTCCCACCCAGACTGTCATTGAAGGTGCAGCCTCTTTCAGGAATTTTAGTCCAATGCAGGAGTTTGCAGTTAAGCTCCCCCATAGTAAATAAATGGTAACTTGTACATAGGGTGAATCAATTACAGTTTACATATGTGGTTCACTAGTAATCTATATAAACATAAGAAAAAAATACTTAGAGAACTGCACTCGAACAGCACTCCCTGAGAAGAATCTCAGCTTCCCAACTAGTATGCCCTGAATTATCAGTATATCAATATATTCTTCCCTACAATACTTGGGACAGTGAGAGGCCTCAGGCTGGGTGCATCCAGGGGCTTATTCCCCTTGTGTCGTACAGATGATCATTTTCTTTGCGTGCTTGAACCATGGAGAAAATCAGAGAACATTTCCTTAAAACGTTAGTCCTTCAAGATGTTTTGGAAAAGGTGGTATACTATATATCCCTTTTTAATCATCATAATGTTCATAAGCTTATTAAAGGTTCCAAAAGATCTTGAAGTAAGGAAAATTTCCCAAACATACTCGATCATGGTGCTTTTTTAAACAAATGTTGACAACCTAAAATTATTGAATCCAAGGTGTCTGTAATCATTGATCCCCTGAAATTTTAAGGTTGTATTCTCTGAAAGTAGAGTCAGAATAAGATACTCTGGGTTGACATTTAAGAGTCAATAAACATGCATGTCTGCTAACTGAGCTGGCTACATAGTAGACAAGCCTATATGAAAACTATGGATATAGAAGGTCACCTCTACATGAAGGTGAGCTACATGAGTCCAATGTTTATTAAGTGTGTTGTCCAGGCACTGTGATAAATAGTTCATAATATCTTCCCATTGTCTCTAGGAAAAAAATCAATTTCTTACCCTGGCCTACAAGGGCCCTCATGATCTGGCCACCTCATTCTCCTGGAACTTCGTCTCCCACACCGCTCACACTGGGCACCAGCCACACTGGCCTTTCAGTGCACCAAATTTATTCTAGCCTGAAAGCCTCTGTCTTGCTCTTTCCTTCATCTAGAATATTCCAGCACTAGATTTTCAAGTGGCTGCCCTTTTTGTCCTCATAGTCTTATCTCACTGAGGCCTTTCATCACCACTGAATCTCAGCTGACTGCCCCTGCCAGAGTTCCTCTGTCATCCTATGGCCTTTCTTGGTTTACTCCTGCCAGTAGCCTACAACCTTTGTGAGAACCATGGGTCTTGTCTGCTCTGTGTACCATACTGTCTTTAACCTTAGCTACTGTGAGACACACAATGCTTGATAAGTAGTTGTGGAATGAATAAGAGAAGAAACTCAGAACTTGCTCAAGTTCACAGCTAATAAATGGCAAAGCTGAGTTTCAAACCCAGGTCTTTCAGAATTCTGTGTTCATAGCACCACACTGTGTCTAAATGAGGGTTGTCCAGGTGGCGGTGTCTCCGCCACCTGATCAGTTCAGAATGTTGTTAGAACTTTTCTTTTGGAATTGCCTTCAGGGTCTGATTTATTCTTTTTAAATCTCCTGGTGGTAGCACATCTTGATTCTTTGAAGATATCTTTGATTTGTAGACATACCTAAAAGTTATCCAGCCAAATATGCTGAATGAGATGGATGATCAAGCTAGTGAAAACTGTTGTTGGGAAAAGAGGGAGTAATTCTGAAGTGACCACAAACAATAAGTTTTTCTTTTCAAAATTGAGTCTAAAAAAGAGTTCTAGGTTGGGGGCAGTGGCTGAAGCCTGTAATCCTAGCACTTTGAGTGGTCAAGACCAGAGGATCGCTTGAGGCCAGGAGTTTGAGACCAGCCTGAACAAGAGCAAGACTCTGTTTCTACAAAAAAATAGAAAAATTAGGCCGGGCGTGGTGGCTTACGCCTGTAATCCTAGCACTCTGGGAGGCCGAGGCGGGCGGATTGTTTGAGCTCAGGAGTTCGAAACCAGCCTGAGCAAGAGCGAGACCCCGTTTCTACTAAAAATAGAAAGAAATTAATCGGACAACTAAAAATATAGAAAAAATTAGCTGGGCATGGTGGTGCATGCCTGTAGTCCCAGCTACTTGAGAGGCTGAGGCAGAAGGATTGCTTGGGCCCAGGAGTTTGAGGTTGCTGTGAGCTAGGATGACGCGATGGCACTCTAGCCTGGGTAACACAGTGAGACTCTGTCTCAAAACAAAAAAAAAAAAAAAAAATAGAAAAATTAGGGAGGCATGGTAGCACACGCGTCTAGTACCAGCTACTAGGGAGGCTGAGACAGGAAGATCACTGGAGCCCAGGAGTTTGAGGTTGCGGTGAGCTATGATGACGCCACTGCACTCCAGCGTGGGCAACAGAGCAAGACCCTGTCTGGAAAAAAAAGAGTTCTAAAAGAAGATACTAAAAACAGTTTGGGGGTTGTGGCAACATTGTTAGAACATGTATAGAACCTTCCAAGGGGACTTCTTTGGGACTATAATATTTCCATTGTGTGGACTAAGAAATCAGTTTTTGTTGCTTTCATAGTTGATACAACTGAAAATCAGTTTCTCATCTCAATGCAAATGTTTAATGCCTGAAAATGAAAATTCTCAGTTTATTCCATAAAGCTAAGAGGTGCATTTGGATGATTGTATCTTGTCAAGCTCTGGACAATAGCTTTCAGCTTCATTATTATTGGTCATGGAATACCATCAAGAAGGTGAACTAGCCAGAAAAGAAATTGAGTACAAGGTGTAAGATTTGAAAAAAATATATTAACTGAAGCAAAAGAATAAGGATAGGTGCGAAACCCTAAAGATTCTTTGGTCGATAGTTTGCATATTTCTAGTTATAACTCACTACATGTTTAGTAATGGTTGGGTTGGTTTTTTTTTAATTTTAGATACCGTTCAGTTGTTTTTCCTTTTCTTTTGAGTTTATTCTCACCAAACCTGAAGTTCTGGGATTTATTTTGGGAAGGGTTGCAGTAGAAGTATTAGTTTTTTCTTTGTTTTTTTGTAACTTGAATGAGGGAGCATCTTTTGGAGGAGATATAGGAGCAGCATTCACTAAAGAGGATATAGTGTCTATCTCCTACAATTTTTGAAATAGTTAATGTCTAAAAATTGTGTCTAGAATTTTAAATTCTCTATTAATCCCTCCAGAACTCTTAGGAATGATTTTTAAAATCATTTCTATTTCTGGATACTCTAAAATGGTATAGAAATTTAGTTTTAGAGATGAAAGGCAAATTAAGAAATCATCTGTTATGTGTATTTTACCACAATTTTTTTTTTTAAAGAAATCTGATCTAATTTTTTTATGGAAGAGAAGTGACACATCTAGTTTTAAGGCAAACTTTGAGTTACATGATGGTCTGATTAACATTCAGTGTTCTTTTAATCATTATTATTATTAATCTTATTAGCTAACATGATAGCTAATATATTTGTTCCTTATGGAAGTAGAGGACTTCATTTTTAACTTTTCATTATAAAATAAAATGATCATTTCTGAGGGGTAGATTGACATTTGTCAAATCTCATTTGCCAGAATTTGTGCTAAGGTCTTTTAGGTGATGTATATGAACACTGTGTCATGTGTTACTGGTTTCTTCTGCTTCAAAGATTCAACATTCTTCACAACCCAAAAGAAAGAGCAGAGACTGGTTCGGGATGTTCGACGGTTATGATAGCTGCAGTGAGGACACAAGTAGCAGCTCCAGCTCTGAGGAGAGTGAGGAGGAAGTTGCTCCTTTACCTTCTAGTCTCCCAATTATCAAAAACAATGGACAAGTCTACACATACCCAGATGGTAAATCAGGAATGGGTGAGTATTTTAGCCTCCATGTCGAGGGTGTGTTTTCATTTGATTTCTTCTGTCACTTCCCCTCCTTAGGATTTTTGTTTGTTTATTTTGGGTTTTTTGCTTTTGTTTCTGTTTTTGTTTTGAGATGGAGTCTCGCTTTGTCACCCCAGGTAGAGTGCAGTAGCGTCCTTGTACCTCCCTGCAACCTCCACCTCCTGGGCTCAAGCAATCATCCTGCCTCAGCCTCTCCTGAGTAGCTGGGACTACCTGCTTGCAGCACGACGCCCAGCTAATTTTTCTATTTTTTTTAATAGGGACAGGATCTCAGTTTCTTGCTCAGGCTGGTCTCAAACTCCTGACCTCAAGCAGTCCTTCCACCTTTGCCTCCCAGAGTGCTAGGATTACAGGCGTGAGCCACCACACCCAGCCCTATAACAACTGCTTATAAGAAGTTTTCTGTTTTAAAACTTACAGTGATAGAGTAGTCTCTGACTCAGAAAACAGTTTCATTTTTTAGTATCTCTAATTACTAGAATATTCTTTATATTGAACCAAAACTATCCTTGCTCCAACTTTTATCTTTTGGTCTTATTTTTGTTTTTTAAAGCCACATAGACTAATTATAATCCTTGTTCTAATGATATCTCTTTTCTCCACACTAGACCACTTGGTTCTAAGAACAGTCCTGTGGTCAGAAGTGGCTGGGTAGTTGGGGGAGGTGGCACTTAGTTCTAGTGTGTTTCCAGGGCACACCCAAAGAACCGTATTTGCTTCACCCAGTTCTCATGGTATCACAGTGATTTAATTCATTGATACTGTGATCACTTTCTTCTGATACTTCAGATTATGTGGTAGTAGGATGACAGTTTGTCCTGATTAATTTGGACTGTCCTGGTTTTGCCATTGAAAGTCCCACATCCTGGAAAACACCTCAGGCAAATGATCGTTCACCCTATGTGAGCACAGAAGAAAGTTCAGCCTTTATCTTCCTTTTCCAGAACACTGTATTTCCATTTGTGCCACCAAAATTGCTTTAGCTTTTTTGAAAATAATACTGAACTTGAAAATAACTGATGTCCTTTGATCTTTATCACATAAGCTAAACTGATTTAAACCAGTCTTACGCTTTTGCAGTTGATTTTTTAATCCCAAGGTGGAGGACTTTGAGTCTCTCCATGTAACGTTTTTGTCAATTAACTTTTGGTCTTAGAAATTTCTGATTGCTAATTCTGTCATCTAATGTTAAATGTTTTGTCATCTAATCTTCCAGTTTTATATCATTTTCAGTTATAATTCTGCCCTGTTGGTCCTATTCTAGTCTTTTGATTAAAAAGTTGAACAGCACAGAGTCTGGTACAGATTCTTACAGACCATATCAAAAAACTTCACTTTATTTATCAGAACCCACTAGGTGTGGTCATCCTACCAGTTAAAACCTACCTGGGTGTCTTCTACTCCAGCTGAAATTTCTCAATCCTAATTGACAAAGCTGTATGACGGAGTTTATCAAATGTGTCAACTCCTATTACTATGTATTCTTACCATGATTTAGTTATATCAGTCTGGTAATCTCATCATAAAAGGAAATAAGGTTTGTTGAAGCTTTATGTATACGAGCATCTGTTTTAAATACTAAAGATACAGAGAAGAACACAGAATAAGGTCCCTGTCCTGATGGAGCTTGCATCCTAGTCATGGGAATTCTCATTTGTCATGTGTCTCCTTGGCAAAGATTCACTGTCTCTTTGGGATTGCAACTTTTTTATCTGAGTGGTCAGGAACCTTTTTAACTATCTGTTCTAGAATTTTACAACAGGAAACCACTCCTTTTTTTCTCCCATGAGACACCTTTTCTTCATCTCTAATCTTTTGATACTTTATCTTTATTCCATGATTTCTCATGGATTTATAAGTACAGGTGACCCTCAGTATCCATGGGGGATTGTTTCCAAGACCTCCTGCAGACACAAAAATTCACAGATGGTCAAGTCCCTTATGTAAAATGAGGTAGTATTTACGTATAACCTATGCATATCCTACCGTATACTTTAAATTATCTCTAGATTACTTATAATATCTAATACAATATAAATGCTATGTAAATAGTTGTTATACGGCCGGGCGCGGTGGCTCACGCCTGTAATCCTAGCTCTCTGGGAGGCCGAGGCGGGCGGATTGTTTGAGCTCAGGAGTTCGAGACCAGCCTGAGCAAGAGCGAGACCCCGTCTCTACTAAAATTAGAAAGAAATTAATTGGACAACTAAAAATATATAGAAAAAATTAGCCGGGCATGGTGGCGCATGCCTGTAGTCCCAGCTACTTGGGAGGCTGAGGCAGTAGGATTGCTTGAGCCCAGGAGTTTGAGGTTGCTGTGAGCTAGGCTGACGCCACGGCACTCACTCTAGCCCGGGCAACAGAGTGAGACTCTGTCTCAAAAAAAAAAAAAAAAATAGTTGTTATACTATATTGTTTAGAGAATAATGACAAGAACAAAAAGTCTGTACACGTTCAATACGAACACAATATTTTTTCCCAAATCATTTCAATCCACAGTTGGTTGAATCCATAGATACAGAACCCACAGATACAGAGGGCCAACTGCACTGGTTACATAACCAGTCCCTCCAGCTTACCTGTTTGGATAGAGACTTTGACTCATGAAGGCAATTATTTGCTATGTTACTTCCTGTTTATCTTTTTTGAACTTCAGTTCTTGTGAACCTTGTTCTTCTGATTCTGCCTTTCTGATTATTGTCTATTATACAATAATAGTCAAAGAGTTCTACTGTTTTCTGCTATCATTGGTTAATAATACAGTGCCTACCTCAAGATTTGAACCTGTTTCTTCCTTCTTGTCCGCTAAACATAACTTGAAAGAATCCTCGTATTGCCCTTAGCATTTTTTCTAACTGTTAGCTCTTTTTAGGTTTCAACTTTTGTGGGTGTTTTTGTTTGTTTGTTGAGACAGGGTCTCTGTCGCCCTGGGTAGAGTGCTGTGGTGTCATCATAGGTCACTGCAACCTCAAACTCCTGGGCTCAAGCTATTCTCCTGCCTTAGCTCCCTAGTAGCTGGGACTACAGGCTCGAGCCACCATGCCTGACTAATTTTTCAATTTTTTGTAGAGATGGAGTCTCACTCTTGCTTGGGCTGGTCTCAAGCTCCTGGCCTCAAGCATTCCTCCCACCTCAGCCTCCCAAATGGCTAGGATTATAGGTGTGAGCCCCCACACCCGGCCTCTTTGCAGTATTTTAAAGTCTTATGCTATACTTTGTGTTAATCTTCCGTTGTGTTGCACGTCATTTCATCTTTTGTTTATAATCCTTTCAAAAGCTGGGATTCATAGTGTATATGGAAATGCCTGGCACGTGATAAGCACTAAAGAAATGTTAGTTGGCCGGGCGCGGTGGCTCACGCCTGTAATCCTAGCTCTCTGGGAGGCCGAGGCGGGCGGATTGTTTGAGCTCAGGAGTTCGAGACCAGCCTGAGCAAGAGCGAGACCCCGTCTCTACTAAAATTAGAAAGAAATTAATTGGACAACTAAAAATATATAGAAAAAATTAGCCGGGCATGTCCCAGCTACTTGGGAGGCTGAGGCAGTAGGATCGCTTGAGCCCAGGAGTTTGAGGTTGCTGTGAGCTAGGATGACGCCACGGCACTTACTCTAGCCAGGGCAACAGAGTGAGACTCCGTCTCAAAAAAAAAAGAAATGTTAGTTGAAGCTGATATATTTGATATATATATGTGCCTTTTGACCCTTTTTAAAGCCTTTTCAGAGTTCAAGCTCTATTATCAGACCTTCTAGAGCCTCTCACCATGGAATTATACCAGTGCTCTCTCTAACTTTTATGTAGGTGTCTCTATCATTTGTATGGGAGATAGAAGAAATTTTTAAATTAAAACCTTTAGATAGTTGGAAAAACCTTTGTTAAACTGTTAGATAAAGATTGATTTTATTATATGATCATAACAGCAGTGTTTTTATTTTATTAATTAGCTACCTGTGAGATGTGTGGGATGGTTGGCGTGCGAGATGCTTTTTACTCTAAAACAAAGCGTTTCTGTAGCGTTTCATGTTCAAGAAGCTATTCGTCAAATTCCAAGAAGGCAAGCATTTTGGCCAGACTTCAGGTAACGGTACAGAAACCTTCTTATTCTTTATATGTGTTATTTCTATTGCTTTCACTGTTTTTATCTGTCATTTGATTGTGATTCACTGCACTCCACCTCTGCGCAATTGGCCAGTTATTATTTTATACCCTCCATTTTTAGGAAATGTGTAAGCCCCAAAGTTTGTTCTGTATATAAAATTGCGGACATGACATATTTTAAGCGGACATGACAAACTATCCAGAATAAAATGAATTTTTTATGTAAGTGAATTAAAAATACCCATTCTTTTTGCAAATAAGTATAAATACAGTGAACACCTTTTTATATACAGAAACTGAAGCCATTTTCGTTTCCCCCCTTGTTTCCTTTTGAGTTAACATCAAGATAGAATCTTTAACATTTGGGGGAAAATAATTTAATCTCTGGTTGTATGTTAACCATCATCCTTGCTTTGTACTTTTGAGTACAACCCATTTGATACTTTGACCAAATGTATTTGGTTACTCTAACTAATCTTTTTGAAAACATTCATGGTATGGAAAGAAAGTCATCTTGCTTTAAATGTACATCATGGCCTGTTTTAATCTATGCTACAAAACAACTGGAGACTTGGTCATTTGACTAAGTTGTTATTACCATTATAGCATATAAACAACTTTTTAAAGGCATTACATAACTGATTTTTGCAACATCTTTTATTGGATGATCACATTCTTATTCTCATTTAATTTATTATTGTGATCATTATATAGTACTGAAAGGGTTATTTAAATCCTCCAAATAAAGGAAATACATCACTTAGATGTATTTCTATATTTCAGATAGACAGTACCTAAAGATCCTGAGCAGTGGTCTGTACCCAAATGGATGGCAGTTTGTCACACTGTGAATTTGGCCCATGATCATTTTGTCATTGATCTTTTGCGTTAGCACTAAAGGTATAAACCTCAGTCACTTGCTCTTTGAACATTAAATTATCTTCTCTTACCATATAAATAGCAATGCTTGGCAGCCTGCATGAGTGAATAACCACTGGTTCTATCTACTATAAGAAGGAATCGAGTATCCACCACAGCCTATATTTTAACATCTTATGGGATATAATTTTTTATTAACATATTAATTTGCATATTGCTATTTTAGTCTATGCCAGCTCTGCTACTCATATTAGATACGTACATTGTAGCAGAACTCCAGAAAAAATTTCTCATGTTAAAATTTCTTGTATGTTTCCTCTGCTTTAATAATTTTCTAAACCCTCAATGTTTACTTAAGCAGAATGAGTAGTGTGCAATCAAGTTAAATTTCAATGGCGGGGGGGTAAAAAAGAATCCTATTTACTTAACTCTTCTTGTTTTAGGGTAAGCCTCCAACAAAGAAAGCAAAAGTTCTTCAGAAACAACCTTTAGTTGCTAAACTTGCCGCATATGCTCAGTATCAAGCTACCTTGCAAAATCAAGCAAAGACAAAAGCAGGTAACAGAGGTGAAATATTTGATATTGATTCATTTAGTTTTAATTAATGACATTTTAATTTTGCATTCTGTTTAACTAAGCTATTTCTGTGCCCTGTTAATCACATTATGATTCTACCCTTCCTGACGGTGATTTTGGTTTCAATAAATTACTCTGAAGAGATAGTTGCATGCACAAGCTCCAGTGCTTGTCACAATTGCCTTAATTTTTTTTCATTGGTTTATTATTTATTTTTTATGTATTGATACTCTATGCTGTGGATGGTAGGCAGCATTGTAGAGATAACAGGACATTTCACAGGCTTTAAAGGGATTAAGGAGAGGAAAGTAATAGAGATTGAGGAAAGGACCATTTCTAATGGAAGATTCTTAATATGGGTACAAAGGTAAAGAGGTAAGTAGGAAGTAAAGCAATTAAAAACCCTAGTGGAGGTATTACATGGTAGATATTGGGTAGATAACTCACTGAGATACATAGTAAGAGCTGAGTGGGAATAAAACACAGCAGCAGCCACAGCAGTATTTGTTATTCTGGACACTTCTCTCAGCTGTTCTTTTCTCTTCCTAACTGGAGAGCTTGTATTTCGATTGCCAAGGAGCATGCGTTATATATTTAAAGAAATTGCTGTTTGTTTGCCAATATGATATAAGCTAAAGTTCATGTTATTTAGAGAAGTTCTTCAGTTCTTACAGAAAAGAAGAAAACTTTCTTTAAAGGAGCTAAATTAATTTTATGTCCTTTCACATTTTAACAATAATAGCCTTCTTATAAATAAAAGATTTAAGAATTGTAATATATCTAAATTTGTTTTATTTCAGCAGTCTCCATGGAAGGTTTCAGCTGGGGTAACTACATAAATAGCAATAGCTTTATAGCAGCTCCAGTCACCTGTTTTAAACATGTAAGTATGGAATTTCTCACCTTCTTATTTTAAAATGCTTACTCATTGTTTAGATCTAAAGGTACAATAACACCGAGCATCTTATCTTTAGAAAATGTTTGTTTTATATGTTGTCATTGAACTACTTCTCTTTTATTATACTTATTAATTGCTAAAAATAACTTCTGTAAGTTTTATAAGTAAAAGCTCCCTACAAAGAAATTGCAATTTGAAATTATTTTTAAACAAGGGAAAAGTACTAGTCTTATTCAATTTTCATATTAAGTTGAACCATACAAAATTGCTAGTTTTGTATATCAAAAATAGTTACATATTGACAATGTCATTTGGTTCAACCCAATAGAAACCATCTATCATGTATGTTACCTAAATCTGTGGTTTGACCTGATAATTCAAAAAAATTAAGGATCTTTCTTCCAGTGGTATTTTTGTCTGCAAATGTAAAATCACAAAAACAAAGAAGAAACTATTAATAATATAGTATTGTGAGTTGAAATATGTGATATATATCATGAGAAACCCTTTGAAAAGGTATTCTTCATTGGATACTAGTGCAACGGAGAATAGGTGAGTAGACAGTATGACAGGGAGACATAACAAGGAATGTAAACTGAACCTTAAAAAACAAAGAGGAAAATAAAAACCCAGAAAGAATAAACAGAAACTAACCAGGTAGAGCCTAGATGGAAAGCTCTGCAAGAATAGGGAAACCATGTAAGCAGAACAGAGGCAATGAACCGTGAGAACCTCCTAGGAGAAGCTCCGCTCAGCTACGTACAGGGCAGTGTCTGTGCCATTTTGCAGACCTGATGATCCCAAAAAGCACTCCCCCTCTGAAATCAGAAAATCATAAAAAGTGAGAAATCCACTATGTCCCTTCTAATTCCTTTACCCTCCTCCCCCATGTAGCCTTTGACCTCATTAAAGTGCTTCTAGAAGAAATAGCTCGACCCCCTTCCAGCCCCTACCCCCATCCCTCTGATTTCCTTCCAGGCTTCCTTTCTTGCTAGGAGCCCATCTCTGCCACAGTCTTTTAACTCTCAGTCTTCTTCCTCACCTCAGCAGGCCTGGTCCACCTCCTTTGTGCCAAAGCGGGGGTCCAGAAGGCACAGGAAGCTCCATCACCTCTCTGGGTGGCTTGCCCACTTTCTAAACTCCTCCCACTGCCTCCCAGCCCCTGTAATGCTAAATGCTTTGTCCCTCACCTAAGTTGATGACCCTTTGCCCCCCAGTAGGTGAGTTTGAATATAAGATGAGCTGTAAACACCGCAGTGTTGGTGAGTTTTAACACCTTGAAAAAGGGTCTGTTAATTCAAGGGGAGAGTTTGCTATTGCAGAGAACACATAGTCATTAAGAAAACTTTATTTCCTCCTGATTTTTGACAAGCCAAGATACTTGCTATAAAATAGAAGATGGTGATAGATATTTAATACTGAGATGTGAATTACTCACCCAAGTTCAGCTTGTAATTGACTCACTTAAAATCATTTAAGAGGAATAACTCCCCTCCAAAGGGTTAAACATCAATATTAGAGTTGACCCATTCAAACATAAATGACATCAGAACTCTTTCCTTGAGGTCAAGTATCCCCATCATTGTGCTGCCTGAAGTTTGATTTTATTCACCCACCCTCAGAATGTTCCTGGTAATCATGCCCTGTAGGTATCTTGTCTGTTCCTGCACAACACACCAGCTTGTTTAATTATTATTTAAATATAATGAGTGGTTTCAACGTAGAATGTAGTGTTTACCACTCTCCAGAGTAACTTTTCGGTGTTTTAGGTCTGTCAGAAGTAGGCCCTAGACATGACGGTGCAGTATTGAGTGGTGGCCGTGGGTGCTTTCTCCCACGTGGCTGCAGGGGCCTTTGTGCTGTCTCTCACAGTAGGGTTGACAAAGTGGCGTCTACAGAGGCATTCTCTCCAACTATTAGAACAACTTCCAGTATTCGTGTTAAATATTCAAAATTTCTCCCTATGGACCTTTGGTGTGGCATACTCGAGGCATAGGACTGAGAAGTCCAAGTTATGGGACTTTGAAGGAATATCCTAAGGTGCTGTCAAGTTGCTTCAATGGAACTACCTCATCTTCAAGGACTGTTCATGTATTATTAGTAGAACACTGCAGACATAGAAATCTGAAGCAACTGGCTTCCCCTTTAAGGATCCTTTAATTTGGGTAAAACATTTTATTGGGGGTAACCATTAATTTATACAGTGGCATTTCCCAGAAATGCTGTATACACCATTGGTCTCAGAATTGTGCCACAGAGTTTATCATGTCTTCTGTGAATCCTGAGCACGTGTTCATTATGTAAATGCCTAACCAAGGGGGCCAAGCAGGAAGTTATCACCAGTGAAATATTTTATTACATAAAATAGTGGTATCTCTACACAGTCTTGGTTTTGAGCTTTTTCCACAAAAGTTTAAAAATTAGAACTCGAATTACAGACTTTCAGAGTCCCTGTGGTCTTGCTGTCAATTAAAATATTTTTTTCTGCATGTAGAGTCAAAAGTCCTAATTTGGTCTTATCTAATAGTTTTGTCAATTAACTGCCCAACCGTCTTTATTGCCTTCTGATCCTCTTTCCGCCTCGCCAATAAGTGCCTGCCCTTTACTGTTTTGTCTGAGTTGACAGTAGTGATGTTCCTTTGAGACGACATGAGGGTATCAGCCTTTCTCCGTCCCTCCTGCCCACTGCTCTGATTACAGGGAGTCTCCTGCTCCCCACCCCTGTCTGCTCCGGAGTCTGTCTCCCTTTCACATCACTTCTTCCTTCCTTCCCTTTCCTTCTGTGCATCATTTAAATTGCCAGTTAAATTTAGTGGATACTTCAGCCTCTTCTATGTGAAGTCAAAAGAGCAAAGTTCTGTTAAGTGTTTTAATTCACTCGACTAGATTGCTAAGATTTTTCTCAGTCTTTTTAAAAAAAGTATCTAAAATAATTTAGGACCTAATATAGAAAAAAGGAATTTAGGAAAAGGAAGGTTCTAGTAAACGTATGTTTTCAAAAACTCAAAGAATAGGGAAAAAAATCTTTTTAGCAAGCAGATTGTTACAGAGTGTCTGAAGTAATTCAGAATTGTGTTTAAAATATATCTGATGACAAATTCTTTCCTTTTGATTCCATTCCTTTTGATTTGATTATCTGTGATTAATTCTCTCCAATACTTTTTTTAACCTGGCTGCAAGTTTAATATTTAAAGATTCTTATCTGTTATTGTCCATGTATAAGAGAATTTAGAAAATTAATGAAATGTTGTTTACACTAAGCATTTTGTCGATTTAGGGCTTTATTTTTAAATAATCAACATATGGCCAAAACTGAGCTTGGGTCCCTGCTGTGGAAATCCAAATGAATTTTCACTCATTCATGGTCAGTAAAGGATTTTGGTCATGGTCAAGCATATTAATCTGGAGGTAGAAATTAAAACTCAGTTCATTAAATTGCTAGTTTTCTTTCTTGAAAGGACAGATGCCCTTAGTCAGTGGCAGGCTGACTAACTCCAACCTGAGTGGAATCTTAACTTATCTCAACATAAAATAGATGATTTATTTTGCTGTAATGCTGATAGTAGTATCACATTTGTGAGAGATATTCCATACACAGCAACGGTGGCTTTAAAGAGAACTACAAAGCAAGTCTTTAACTCTCCTCTCTTGGGATAGTGCTTTCCTGGTGCTAAGAAGCTCAGAATTAAATTAAGTTCTCAGTTACAGTAACTCTTTCATCTCACATTCCTGGGACATTTGTCTGTTGTCTCCTTCTGAATAGCCTTAATCTCTCTTCATATCTGTTTTTATATCATAAACCATGTCAAGCCATTTTATACAAGTCATCAGGATGTTAAAGAGAGTAGCATTTCAAAGTCTCAAAAGCATAATGTATTATTTCATGTCCAAATCTTTGGGTTTTTTTGGTGTTTGCTTTGTTTTGAACAGGATCTCACTCTGTTGCCCACACTAGAGTGCAGTGGCAACATCATAGCTCACTGTAACCTTAAACTCCTGAGCTCAAGTGATCCTCCTGCCTCAGCCTCCTGAGTACCTGGGACTAGGCACACACCACCAAGCCCAGCTAATTTTTTTTTTTTTTCCTTTTTTTGCAGAACCAGGGTCTTCTCTTTTTTTTTTCTTTTATGATAAAGAAACAGGGTCTTGCTATGTTAGAGTAAGGATCCCAGATAAACATTTTCTATTTTCCATCACTTAGATATTATTGTGATTAGTTCTAAAATCATAGAATTTCAAGAGTTGAGTTCTTCTTTCCATGGTCTATCTTCAGACTTCTGAGGTCATCCTCAGAGTAGATCATAGACTATATCCTTTTTGATAATTACTGTAACTTTTTAATCAGCAATGGAAATCAAGCTGTAGTTGGCATTTAGTATATCTACTTCCTCGAAATCTGTATATTATGATTGCCATATATCTGATATATTTCATTTTATCTGGGTGGTCGTTTTCACACCTTTTATTTAACTGTCAGAATTCCCCTTTTCCCTAATAAAATCTTACTCAGACCTTAGAACACAGTTGGGATTAGAGGAAGCTGTGCCGATTGGTCTGGCAGGAACAGGGGGGTACTGCCAGAGCCTTGGCCCTTGATACTTGCCCACCCCTTCCTTGGCAGTCCCTGAGGTTGGAAACTGAATTGGGTAATATCACTTTTATTTAAGTCTAAATCATATGGTCACAAAGCTGGAAGGCTTCTTTAAAATGCTCTAATTCTTCTAGTCCATCTCTGTCTTTAAAGAGACAGGATTTCCCTCTGTCTCCCAGGCTGTAGTATAGTGGCCTGATCATAGCTCACTGCAGCCTTGAATTCCTGGGCTCAGGTGATCCTCATGCTTCTTCCGCCTTCCAAGTAGCTGGGACTGCAGGCACTCATCACCGCACCCAGCTATTGTTTTTATTTTTTGTAGAGATGGGGGTCTCACTTTGTTGCCCAGGCTGGTCTCAAATTCCCAGTCTCAAGCAATCCTCCCACTTTGGCCTCCCAAAGTGCTGGGATTACAGGCATAAGGCACCGTACCTGGCCCATTTAAACTCTTATAAATGAAGAAACTGTTGCCACTTTTTTGAGTAACTGGATATAATTTTTAACTTTAGGCTTTAACCTGCTTTTCATAATGCAAAGTCTTTTTTTTTTAAATGTATTTTTAAATTAACACCATAAAAGCAGCATCCACATCTATCCTAACTGGAAAAATCTCCAAAATATTAATATAGTACCAAATGCCAGTTAGGTGTACTATATGTATTTGTGAAATTCACAGACTATTTTCTTATATTAGTTGTTTATTTTTGAACCCAAGGGAGCCTCCAGTTTTATATGTATTCAGAACATTTACCTTAAAGCACTCAATTTTTAAAAGAAAATTTTTTAAGACTATAGTCTTCTAAATTGAAGCACACCTTTTTCCCATTATTTGCCTTACGAAATCAAGTAAAATATTTATTTCCAGAGATGACAGCATGGGCCAAAAGGTGCTAATATCAAATGTACATGAAACCATGTGAAAGCTAAATTCATATTCCTTTAGTTATGTATTTACAGACTTCAGCTTTCTTATGTTTGGTACCTAATAATACTGTTGAGTCTTAACAAGGACATTGATACTGTCCTTGTTAAGACCAGAAATATTGTAATCATCCTTTTTTCTTCCTTGAAAATAGGTGCAGTTTTGTACTAAAAAAAAAAAAAAAAAAAGGTTTTTGTACACATATGTGCTAGAACTTTAAAGCTGAATTTATCATACTTTTTCATTCTGCCACCACAGACATAACTATTACTTGCCTGATATATTCTCATACTCTTTTTTTGTGCCAGAGCTTTTTGTATGCCAGCTTTTTTGAAGGGATAGTGTTATCCATATTTCTTTGCAATAAGTATCACACATATATTTTTAGGTTTTAAGGACAGAAAAAGCCCTTTTGTTTGTGTATGTACAGTGGCAGTAGTTTATAGTAAAACTCATCTGTTTGTCAGGTATGTGCTTATTAGTAAAATAATCTTTTTCTAGTAAAGTTTTCTTCTTGTTTGTTTTTCCCTAGCTTTGACCCCACACACAGGACTCTATTAAAAGTTGGAAATAAATAATATGACTTTGTCTCTGTTTTAACTAAAGTTAAAATCTTTAGTATATTCTAGATTGCAAAATTTCTTTCTAATGGAAATAAAACTTAAATTAGTTTGTGGCACTTACTAGTGCTATTATGAGGATTACCATGAAATAAATTCTCTGCAGGAGAGCAGTGGACTCTACTGTAATACAAATCATCTTTCTCTTATGTTTTAAAGAAAGCCTAATAAAATTGTAATCAGCAAAAAGAAAGCCTAAATAAATCGTGATTATTTTCTTAATTTTTTCTGTTTCCTAAAGTGCTTTTTGTTTTGCTATTGGGATCTCCCAATTCTTAACCAATATTGGTTTAATACAATTTTTTAAAAAAATGAATGGACTGTTTTATGCCTTCCAAATTAGTAGCCACTGCTTCCTGTCTTTTTACATATGCATAACATTCTCTCATTCCTAATCTTACTTCCTTTCCAAGTATCCCATTTTCCTTTTGTACTCTTCTTGTACTCCCCATCTCCCTGCTACCACCACTCCAAAAAGTAGATTCTAGTATCAAATCTAAAGGTGAATAGACTTTGTGGAGAAAGGGGGAGAAGTTTTTCTTTTCCCTATTTCTACTTTCTGCCAGTTCCAGTGAGTAGTATTTAAAAATTATAATTTCTTCTTAATCTTACGTAATGTTTTCTCCCCCTTTTGGCCAAATAATATTTCATCTTTCACTGCTAGATATACTTTAGTAATCTTTTGCCTATTCGTCTGAAGGTATTTTAATGGTGGCTTTTTGTACATCTCATTACAGTAGATTCTTTCTTGGTTACCTGTGTGTGACCAGGTCTTGTCTCCGCCCACTTACACTCTCTTTGTTAAGAAGAAAGATTGAGCGTTATCAAAAGTTACAGATTGGCAACTCTGCGGAGGGAAATCTGTATTTCTGCCATAAAGCATCACGTGTGCGGTGTATCAACCGTCTGAGAGTCTGAATACCAGCCATCTGAGCTATTGGACTATCTGGGAATGATCTTGAAGTGCAGAAAATAAGACTTCACACCCAATTATTTCCATACAGTCAGGTGGAGGTTATCATACATTTGTGTTGGGGACCCCTCAGCATTTGGATCTGGCCATGTCCTGCAGGACCTGATGACAGCTTACCTTGCAGGGAAGGACAGTCGCTCCCAGATAGCCCTCACGAGTGGCCCTGGAGCAGGAAGTGGTGGAGCAGATCTTCCTTGTTTGGGAGGAGCCTGAGGTGGACCTCGCGTCCTGAGTCTGGAAGGTAAATTTGTTGTTACCTGTAAATCATGGTTCTGCTAGTTCATGCTATGCCAATCCAGACTTTCAGAGGTATCCCTCCTGCCAGCAAGAGAAGACAGATGACTTGGATGAAGATGGCTGTCAAGCCCTGGGTCATTTAGTCTTCCACACTTAAGAAAATTCATTTTAAACAAAAGGGCAGATATATCTATGAAATTACCTTATTATTTCAACACATTGAGCACATACTATGCTATGATTATGGTGCTCTTTCTTGTGATGTTTCTGTTTCTTCATTTTTTTTCTTAGAGTGAACCATATGGATTGGTTTAAGAGGGCCTAGCAGAACCACAACCTTACAGGCAAGAACAAATGTCACTTTCTGCTACTTTCTCCTATACCAATCCAGACTGTAGGAACCAAAACATAATGTCCCCCACCAAAGTAAACATTAACTTTGTTTTTTAATATTCACACTTTGTTTTCTTTAATATAATATGATTAAAAGTTACTTTCTCCAAACAAATGTTAAGGTTTAAAAAAACAAAGTCAGTATGACAGGTTGTCACACCTACCGCAAAAGGGAGTCCTGTACACCAAACTCATTTAGCAATGTGCCAACCTAACCCCCAGCTTGTCAGCATAACCATGCCTCTTTCTTATCAGTTAAAAATAAACCCAATTCACAGATTTGGCAACCAAAGAGGGATGGATACCATACCTTAATTTAATGCATGCATTTGACTGCATCTGTCAGCTCTAATTGGTTCATCCTCCCAGAAATGAATACATGATCTTCGTGTTAATATATGTTAGCTTAATCTATGTTACCCGTCTTCCTTCCAGCCTCTCCTTTTCTGATCGTATCTGCTGGCAATAGGGATGGCCCCACAGTCTAGAATGATATAGGGGGAGATAGCAGAACCTGAAGAGTCCAGTCTTTCAATTTAAACAAAAAGAAGGAAGTGATCATAATGAATTTTTTTTTTTTTTTTTTTGCACAAGTCAGGGATATTATTATGTGTACCCTTCCAGAATCACAAATAGTTGAGATAGGCCACATCTCTGAGTTACTGAGGTATACTCATTACTTACTACTTAAAGCAATAGCCATTAATTGATTCTGTCTTTGGTTTCTAGACTTATCCTAGTTCAGTATTTGACGTTTTCTTTCTCTCCTTCAGAAATTCCTCAAACTACTGAGAGGATAGAGTTTAAATATTGTCTTAGGCTAATCCACCAAAAAAAAAGGATGAGGAGCCTTGCATGGAAGACATTTGCCCGATGTTCAGATTGGCTAGTTCATGTAACTCATAGATGTCTTTGCTCATCCTTGAGCTTTGAAGCTATTTTGTTTTTTCCTGATTTGTTCACATTATCAGGTCTTTATAACCTCACGTAATCCTTTTCTCTATGATCAAGGTTCTAAATTATATCTAATGAGGAGCTGATCATCCAGGGCAACAGAGATTGTTTAGTATTACCAGCATTTATATTCCTGAATTCACTTATTTGATTTAATTCACCATTGCATAAATTCCAAATAATTATGAATTGCCTTGAGTTTCAAGGATTAAAATGTAATGGAAATTGTAATTTGGGAACATCTGTTAGATTTTGGAAAATACCTTCATGATACTCACTTAATTGGGTTTCTGAGTCCCCATCTTAACCATTGAGTGTGGAGGCTAGTGATTTCCAGTTCTAACATTGGAAGTTTTCTCTTTGGAGTAATTTCCGCATGAGAAATTTTGAAATAATAAATTATTTTATAATTAACCATGGTACTCATCTCCAAAAACTCTTCAACTTCACCTTCTTAACTTTATCTAATGCTTTTCCTCTGTATCCATCTTAATAGACTATATTTATATTCTGTGAATTTAACTTAAATTGAAAATATGGATAAGTTTCGTTTCTCTTATTCATGTTGTTGGAAACCACAGTGCTGTTTGGAATTATTTCTCTTTCTGTTCTTTGGCCAGATCTTTTAAAATTAAAGTATACTCATTTAGTATATATTAAAAATAATTAAGTTTCTTAAATTAGTTTTATCCTGTGAAATCTGCTATCATGTTTGTAATACAGCTTTTAGAAAAATTGCTGCTTAAATATTGTGTTAGGACAGTATTGAATTTTGAAGTCAACACGGATCTATTATAAATATGTGAATTCTGTCTTCTTGAGTTTGACCCTGACACTGGCTTTTTCAAATAGAATTCTGTGGAAGGGGCAATAAGTTACATTTTTAGAGAAAAATGAATGGATTACATTTTTAGCTTAACAGTCCCATTATTGATGATAATGCTTAATTTTGAATGATATGTTTTAGGCTTTATATTAAGACAATAATTTAATAATTTTTATGTGACAGGCACCTATGGGGACCTGCTGGGGTGATATCTCAGAAAATGTGAGAGTAGAAGTTCCCAATACAGACTGCAGCCTACCTACCAAAGTCTTCTGGATTGCTGGAATTGTAAAATTAGCAGGTGAAAAGCATGAATAAGAATTTACTAGAAAATGCCAATGATACTTGTAATCTTTTGTAAAAAAGTATGTTTATAAATTTTGCAAGTATTACCAAATAAATGTGATAAAGAACAGGGGTTGACAAATTTTTTTCTGTGAAAAGCCAGACAGTAAATACTTTGAACTTTTGCAAGGCAATATGCTCTCTCTGACAGCTACTCATCTCTATCACTGTAACATGAAAGCAGCCATAGTGATACGTAAATGGATAGATGTGACTGTGTTCCAGTAGAACGTTATTTATGGGAAATTTGAATTTCATATAATTGTTATGTATCATAAAATATACTTCCTTTGATTTTTCTATTCAACCCTCTGAAAATGAAACACAGCATTTTTAGATTGCAGATTGCCCAAAAAAAAAAAAAAAAATCAAGAGTAGACCAGATCTAGGGGCCATAATATAGTTTGCCAACTCCTGGTATAAGGAAATACTGTGAAAAGTAACAAAAGTTGAAATACTAAAGAAAAGTGATAAGATCCGTAATACCAAAAGTGAACAAACGGTGTTGATAATTTCATATACCTTGGGCTCTTCCTTTCTCTTCATTCCGATTGCCTCTACCCTACCCCAGCCCTTTTTGCTCATGAAATAAATGTGTTAGAGATCTACTGTATTACACAGAGTGGACATGTATGTACAGAAATGTAAGACTTGTTTTTTTCAGCAGGCTCACGTCAGCCAAATGTTGAGTACTACCAGGCATCATATGGCAAGGGGCTCAGTGAGTGGTGTAGTATATAGGGCACGGTAGTACTTTAGAGGAGGGGCAGACGGCCACTCTGATAAGAAAAGTTATCCTTAAGATTACTGTGTAAGAGGTATCTAACTCATCCTACTCTTTATAGTCTTATCTCCAGCTTTCTTCCCAGAACACTCTGCATACTGCTCTACTGTGTACTGCTGATAGACTTAATTACCTAAAAATCATCTTTATTGCCTTCTTTTTACTTAAAGGATCAAGGTGGTCAGCATTTACAGCTATCGATGAGTTTTACCATATGCCACTTGCCAAATTTTTTGTTGCTCCCCAACATAAATGATCTGTTCTAATGAGGCTAGTCTCCTTCTCTCTTTACTGCAGCATGTTCTTTGCCACCACTGTGCATTTGGTCACTCTTGTAAGAGTGACCCATTCCTGTGTTTGACCTGTGTAACTCAATCCAATCCCCCATCTTTTCATTGAAACATTTCTCCAATATAAAAGCATTATCTAAATTCTCTACACTATAATTTAAAACAACATATTGTTTCTGTCCTAGGTGTATAAGTCAGTTACATTTAAATAGCTCTAAAGATCGATGCATTTAATATGCAAGAATTATTTCTACCTCCCATCTCTGATTTTACATTTCTGTTTTATCTAATTGCATCATTTATCTTCTTTTAAGCCACTTTAGTGCCTTTGTACAAGTGAGCCTGGTGTTAATCATAATCTAGAGTTCAGCAATAATTAGCAGACTCATAAATTGTTCTGTGAATTACTGAATTTTAAAACTAAAGGTTTAATGCTATAAATTTTCATCATAGATATTAACACATGAAAACACTGACTGAACTTGGCTCCTAGCCCAAAATACAAGTTTATTGGCCTTTTTTTATTCCGTTAAAGACCTGAAATTTTAATTTGTTATCAATATATGAAGTTTATTAAATTATAAACAGGATATATTATATATTTTTTATTCTTTCCAGGAAACAAGACGTCCAGTTTGCCTAAGACATACAGTTTTAAGTAATTTCACATACTTTTGTGTTAATTGAACTTTTTACATTGCATGTTCAAATTTTATTTCCAAATAAATAGGACAGAAAAATTTAGATTCTTGAATAAGCCATATTCAAATTGTCCAAGAGTAATAAACCACCTAAACAGCTGGATAAAGCAATTTTTTAAAAATATACTTGAACTGGGTTTGTGTGACTTTACAGGGTTTTATTAGCTTATCACAACCTTCTCTTTTATATTCAGAGCAGTGCGTTTTAATAGAACCGTCTCACCCTTGTTTTTACCAAGACTTTTTTCCAGAAAAAAGAATTTCTTGAGAAATTATGGGTAAAATTGAAATATATTCAAGGGAAGAAGCCATGCTCTAAACTAATTACATTGAACAAATAGTTCTCAAGTTTGGTCCGTAGACCAGCAGCAGCAGTACCCAGGGACTTGTTAAAAATGTAAATTCTCAGACCCACCCAAGATCCACTAAATCAGAATCTCTGGAGTGGAGGTGCCCAGCCGTCAGTCTTAACAAACCCTGGAGGTGAACCTGTTGCAGATACACACTAAAGTTTGACGACTGTTGTCAGATGCTGTGTTGTTTGATTTACTTTTGTTGTCTTAATATGTAGTGCATGATTTGTTGGTTTCAGGTTACAATGCCCTTTTAAGATATGAAGGATTTGAAAATGACTCTGGGCTGGACTTCTGGTGCAATATATGTGGTTCTGATATCCATCCAGTTGGTTGGTGTGCAGCCAGTGGAAAACCTCTTGTTCCTCCTAGAAGTAAGTAACTTATTTACCCATACTGTAATTTTATATATGTTTACTTTAATGCTGTTTTATTCATGGTAACATTAAAATAATACAGAAATTAAAATAGTATTTTTTTGGTGTCAGGTAACTTTTTCACCAGCAAGTTACATACTTATTTTCTCTATTTTGGTCACTTTTCTGAACCTAAATTAATAATCTGATTTTCAGAGAAATTTGTTACTATTTTTTAAAAAATAACTTATGAAACAATTATTTTTGTTAAAATGTAACTGGTTGTTTCTTTTTTTTTAGCTATTCAGCATAAGTATACAAACTGGAAAGCTTTTCTAGTGAAACGACTTACTGGTGCCAAAACACTTCCTCCTGATTTCTCACAAAAGGTAAAAACAGGATCTTAGGAAGACTGAAGAACTCTAAGAAAAGGAGTAACTTAGAAGTTTTTTAAGGAATTATTTTAATTTCATGAACTAGATGATCTATGTTATTATAAATTTCAAGGGCATTCAGTATTTTTAAGAGTACAACATTAAAATTACTTGTAGATCTTTGTCATGATTTTCAAACAGGTTCTGTCTGCTTTTGCTTTAAGGTTTCAGAGAGTATGCAGTATCCTTTCAAACCTTGCATGAGGGTAGAAGTGGTTGACAAGAGGCATTTGTGTCGAACACGAGTGGCAGTCGTGGAAAGTGTAATTGGAGGAAGATTAAGACTAGTGTATGAAGAGAGTGAAGATAGAACAGATGACTTCTGGTGCCATATGCACAGCCCATTAATCCATCACATTGGTTGGTCTCGAAGTATAGGCCATCGATTCAAAAGATCTGGTAAGCAACCTATGGCAAGAACTCCTCTTAAGTGTCATTGAGGCTGTGAATTGTGCTACTTGGTTATTTTTCTCTACGGAATTACATAGATGAAAAATAGCATTCTAGTTGTTTGGGCTGCTTATTCTACTTTAATAAAAGTTCACACCATATTAGTGTCCTAATTAATTCCTTTATATTCCTTCCACTTTTTCTCAATTAAAAAATAATGCACTTTTGGTCACAACTACCAATTGTTTTGTTACTCTTTTTTTATTCAGCCCATTTGAAAGATCTAAAGATAGCCTTTCCCTTTCCATTCAATTTTAACCAAAATAGCGAGATTAAATGTGGTTAGAATTGATACTAAACACATTAAAACATGCTTCTAACGTTGTGAATCCCTAACTAGGGAATACGAGCATACTATCTGGCTGAATGTATTTGATAGCATATGCACATGTACTCCGAAAAGAGAAAAGACTAGTAAAGAATATTATTCACCATAAATGTAGAAGGCATGACTTTTTGCCATGTTTTATAGTATTACATACCTTGTGAGTTTGAAGCCTTCAAAGAAACGTGGTTTTTGGTCTTCTCACAAATGCTGACAGATTAGTATGTAACTTTTCCTTGTAGATATTACAAAGAAACAGGATGGACATTTTGATACACCACCACATTTATTTGCTAAGGTAAGAAGTTTTTATAAGAACCCTCATTTGTAAATTAGATTTGAAAGAGGGTTGTGGGTTTTTTCCTAAAATTATGGACATCACAATTACATATGTTCACTTTAAAGAATTAAGACCATGTAATCCATAGGTGTCACAACTCTTTATTATAATTATTCTTAAATTCTGTTTGTCTGATTTCTCTCTAAACCTTAATGGAAAGTTTGAGATATAATATTAGGTAGGTAGGAGAAGGCACCTGAAATCTTTTCACATTGGTAATATTTTAATTATTAAAATGACAACATTTATACAGTAGATGTGCTTTCATATAATTCTTTAGGTAAAAGAAGTAGACCAGAGTGGGGAATGGTTCAAGGAAGGAATGAAATTGGAAGCTATAGACCCATTAAATCTTTCTACAATATGTGTCGCAACCATTAGAAAGGTAAGAGAATAGACTTTAAAAAATGGACATGCAGCTATAAGGAACTGTGTTTAAGCTAATAGGAAAAGGAGGGCCTTGGCATATTCATTTTGATATAAAATGTGGGTGTATCTGGATCTTCCCTGGGTTACTAGGAATTTCAGGTATGTTTGAATTCTCTTATCAGATCTTTTTTTATATAGCCTATTATCAAGATTATTATTTTGAATCTGCTACCTTTATTTGTGGAACCATATCCTAAGTTAGAGGAAAAATATTTAAGGCTGGCTGGGCGTAGTGGCTCACGCCTGTAATCCTAGCACTCTGGGAGGCCGAGGCGGGTGGATCGCTCAAGGTCAGGAGTTCGAGCCCAGCCTGAGCAAGATGAGACCTCATCTCTACTAAAAATAGAAAGAAATTATCTGGACAACTAAAAATATACAGGAAAAAAAATTAGCCGGGCACTGTGGCGCATGCCTGTAGTCCCAGCTACTCAGGAGGCTGAAGCAGAAGGATTGCTTGAGCCCAGGAGTTTAGGGTTGCTGTGAGCTAGGCTGACGCCATGACACTGCAGCCTGAGCAACAGAAAACTCTGTCTCAAAAAAAAAAAAAAATACAAGTGACCAGATCCCTTCCCCTCCATTATGATTTAATCAGTCTGGGTTGAGGCCCTAGCATTGGCTTCTTTTTTTCTTTTCTTCCCTTCCCTTACCTTCCCTCCCCTCCCCTCCCCTCCGCTCCGCTCTGTTTCATCCAGGCTGGTGTCAAACTCTTGGGCTCAAGTGCAGCTCTCCCACCTCAGCCTCCCAAGTAGCTAGAACTATAGGCATGAGCCACCACACTGG